TGATTATTAGTTTTTGATAAGTACTCTCTCCCTATCCCTTTCTCTTCTCTCTTATCTGCTCTTTCTCCTCCTTGCACCCTTCCCCTCGCTCCTTCTCTCGCGCCCTCTCTCTTTCACTCCCTCCTTCACCTTCGTTTTTTTTGTTTCTCTTTTTCTTTTTTTTTACAACAAATATTAAACGTGTCCATTCTAATGCTGCTTTCATTATCGCCTTATTTCACTGGAAGATCGACGTCGTCGCGACATAATATTACGATGATGATCAGTCGTGAAGGCGATAAACTAAAAGGAATTACGCAAAATTCAGGTGACGTTTCATCAACAAGCAAGCAAGAAAAAGGCCATTTCGATTTGTACGTATATACATATGCACCTAATATATATATATATATATATAGTCCAAAACTAATCTCGATTACCGTGGTGTCCAAATAAAATGGGTAAAACCGAGCAGTAAAGTCATATACAATTTTGCAAAATTCGCAATAGTTGGCGAGGAATTAATTGTTTTGTCTGAGCTAATAAGCGCAGACGGAAAAAGATAGACTAGACACTGTATAAAGAAAAATGGTTTCTTTCTGAAAATCTAGTAAGGAAGATGAGTATCGACTGATACTGAGAGGTGTATTTCTTTTCGGTGCACAACATTGTCACATACCACTTGCTGTTTGCTGTGTTATTCCACTTTTACAAATTAGCCAGTTGAATTAACTTGGTAATTTTAATGCGGATTTCTCTCTCTCTCTCTCTCTCTCTCTCTCTTTCTCTCTTTCATTCTCTTAATTAATCTCTCTAATATTTCGGAAAAGTTATACTTTTATCTGTACTTTGAAAAATTAAATTTGCAATATTTGGATTTCGGGAATGAAATTTTTCAAAAAATTATCCATTCTAAAATTAATTCCGAGATTTTCATTTGTTTTCGAGACAAGTCTCAAAAGTTTGTTGCAACAGATTAACCGTACCAAGCTGCTGTGTGCGTATACGATTTAGAAGGAGAATATGCTCTTGCTCACCGTTAAATACTTTGTTAAGTATAATCGCCTTGAATTCATGCTCGACAAGAATGTTTTAAGGTAAGACACGCCGCGGCATTTGACCGCGTTTTGTGTAACAATGCAAGAATTAAATTGCAAAGAAGATGGCGGTGAATTTCCGGTACTATGCCGTTCGCTTAATGAGGTAACGGGTCACAAACTCCCAAATTGCTTTTTTCAGAATGGTAACGGAAGTCTTTCTCTATCTTCCTCCCCCCCCCTTCTTCTCTTGTTTCTTTCTTCTCTCATATCCTTCTCCCCTCTTCCTTCCTTTCTTTTCCGAGAAGCTTGTCGCGAGTTCGCTAAATAATTATTTCCGTCGTTCACTTTTTGGTGATTAAAATATCACGACTAGGAACATTCGATTACATCGGAATTCATATGTAGAAATTTTAAAGCGGATCAATATTTGGACAGCATAGCTTGCCACTATTGTGACGATATTAGCCGCCAATGTTGTGCAAGTACAGATTCGATACAGAAGTTTGATGCACAATGTAGCAATAATTAAACACTGACATCGATAATATCGAGTGGCCAGCTTCACGAAGCTTTGTGGTTTTCGGAATAGGTTTTCGGGTTTATATCATATATCTGTGCCTAAATTAAAGAAACATATATCTAAAATGTCTTTTTGACTATGGTAACTTACCAATCCCCGGAAACTTATCGGCCCTGGTAACTTACCGACCCAAAGAAACTTAAATAAGTAATTTTACCTACTATTGATCAATTGTTACTGTGTCATCCACTCTTACTGACAAGAACTGAGTCGATAAGTTACCAGGGTCGATAAGTTTCGTTTTCCGGGAGTAAGTTTCCCGACGTCGGTAAGTTTCCGGGGGGCGGTATGTTTCTGTATTGTGCATCGCAGAGGCAGAGTGAGGTACGAAGACTCCAATTTTTGGATAGATTCAAGAATGATACTTTATATTTACCTAATATATGTAAACCATACAGTATTCTCGAAGCAATAGATGTCAATGGGTTTGATCTGCGTTACAAAGGCCTGAGTAACCTGTGTAATCTCATAAATCTCAAGTGGCTTAGCATGACAAACTGCAAAAATATCGACGCCTAGGGCTTAAACAAAATATAAGCAGAGCTTCCGGAGTTATTTGACATCTCAGGCTGTGAGAAAATCACTTAGAGAAAATTGGAGGCATTGTATAGAATGTTCAGTCAGAAGAAATTGATTGTTACAAATCACAACAAATCTGCTGTCTTTGAGCTAACGTGTATGATGTTAGAAGATTGTATGCTTGACTTGACTTGTGAGAACTCTTGGAAATATCAAAAGAATAATGTTAATTGAGAGTCACCTTTAGTAAGATTACAGTTTGTAGTAAACGTTCACACAGAAATATTCATCTCTATTTATATGTATTACATATTATTTGTATAATTTCCCGCGACGATAAATGGAAGAATTGTACAAAGATACCGAGCGACTAATCTGAAGTTCTTAGTATCGCATTAGCGACCGTAATAAGTACGTGTATAATTATGATGTAACATCACAATTACATGTAAATTCACCACGATCTCAGGCAGAACAGAAAGTAAAGATGATGTGAGAATGACGTCGAAATAATGAAAAAATGATCGAAGAATGAATTTTACAACCATTATCTCGTTTTCATTTTGGTATTATTTTGACGTCACTGTTATTTTCCTGTTCTGGGATGAGAAGATCGTGAATGCGGTATGAAAGTATTCAGGAAGCCGAATCTTGTCAATCGAAGAATCGATCACCTCCGTCAGCGAAACCGAATTCACACACATCTATCGTAATCCACGTTGTAAATTATTATCTTTTCGTTAAGTCCGTTTTAGATCAATTTAAAGTGCACGGCAGAATTTAGGAAATTATACTTCATACCGACAAGCAAAAACTAACAACCTGGGATAACGTTCCAGATAATGACCCGGCTGGCCGGGCCAGTTACTACCGACATTATCGACTGTTTTCTTCTGCAGGATCGTCATTTTCTTTTTTAAGATCTCACGAGTAATGTCATCTGAATAAGATTTAGATTTCATCGTAGACATTAATATCGATCATCAACACGCACGAGAAAATTCCGTTTATCTCGAGATATACAGAGTGCAACATTGTTTCTTAAATTTTACCGCTCTTCTCACTTCGACTCTTAGTTTCAGATAATAACGCTCCATTTATCGTACCTCGAGCAGAGCCTGGTTGCTTGATTTTTTACGTAAATTCAAAAACAGTACACTAGATTCAACATACCGAAGACATGCAGAGGCGCCATCTGTTGAGGCCTCCGCCGTATTAATACGTCGGTACCGACAAACCTTTTTCATGACGGCCGAAGCTGCAATTCGAATTCTCCGCTGTTGCGATCCGACGAAGATGCTGCGCTGTGTTGACATTCCCGATGACGACCCTCACATGAGATAATCCTTTTCAGTGAAGAACATGACGAACGTACGACACTTGCCCGACACTCCCGACTGACGCACTTTCCGCGTTTGTTATTTACCACGACGGTCACTCACTGCGCGAGACGAACGCGAGGCTCACATTCGACGTTGTCATCGGACGCGATAATTCGCAGAGGAAGTTCGCACTTTCGGCCCGAAAACGACGCGAAACATGGGACGAGCGGTCAGCGTCGCGCCTCTCGCGATAGCCATCTTTTAACTGACCACTCGTAACGAACAGATTACGATTCTCGAAGTACAAATATGAGCGAACTTCACTCGATACCACCGACCAGTGGTTCCGCGAAACACTTGATTTTGGCAGTATTTTCGACGGTATCTCGCTACGACAAGTACATGAGACTTAATTCTTGCACCTGCAACGACATTTCGCATGAAAAACCTCCCCTCCAGAGGGTCGGAAACGTGAAAAGCAACGGGTTGAACTTTCGATCGCCATAACGGCCTGATCGCGACATTATTCGGCTGACACAGCCGACACTTCGTCCCGCGATTTCGGGCATTTACCCGCTTCTCGGGACTGTTTTACTACGATACTTTGCTATGACAAATGTACGTACCTTGCATTCGGCACTTTCAGCAGCGGTAACTAATTTTCAGACCGGCTAAAATCGCGCGAAACACAGGACGAGGTTTCGAACGCCGTTCCCGTCGCGATCGTCCCGGCATAACTGACCGACGTAACTGACGTTTGCGGTAATTGCAAATCTCGATGTATCGAAGCACCCGATGTTTGACAGCTAATCACGGTTCGTTCACATATCTATTGAAACGTAACGCCCTTGACACAGAATAAATTTCTAAATGATGTCCAGAAAAGACGTTATCGGCCAATCAACGTGCCGTTTTTCCACGAGAACTGAAAATTTATTAGCTGCCGCATCGCTTCTTGCGGCGCGGCAAGAATTTCCGCGTGGCTTCTTGTGGGTAGAAGCTATGAAACAAAATATACTTGTATCTTTCTAACTTATTGAGCCAGTTTAGCAGTGCAGCTAAAAAGAACAGACTAAATGCTAACACTACGCTAATGGCTTTTGCCCACAGGACGCGGCAACGTTTGCCGCGCGGTAGCCAATCAACATGCCGTTTTTCGATAAGAACTAGAAGTTGATTGGCTATCGCACGAACTTCCGCAGCGCGGCAAGTGTTGCCGCGTCCTGTGGACAAAAGCTATAATGCTGTTCGTGGAACTTGCTATCGTTTTCGCGTTCTTGGCCCTAAGAATGATATTAATAACGTTGTAATTATAGTGCTAATAGTGTCTCCTTGAACGCACCCATATTATCTTAAAGCTTAAAGCGAGGTCTACAATGAAAATTTAAGGCGTAAGATTTAAGAAATTGATCAATCATAATTGACTTTTCTTCTATAATTTGACCGTAATTAGTCAATTTCTTAAATCTTACGCCTTAAATTTTCATTGTAGACCCCGCTTAAAAGCGTACACCAATCAAATTCACAAATTTTATGACTGTGCTAAGTTGATACCTCTGCTGAACGCAGCTACTGTACTCCTTGCTGGAAAGCACTCAATGTTCCGAAGATTAAACTGCATAAACAATAAAATAAATTATATATTCTTGTTTAAAAGATGGATATTGAATACAATTTTGTGAAGGAAATAAACTGTAATCAAGGAGCTATCAGATCTGTACGATTTAGCGGTAAATAAGTTACTATAATTTTTAACACTATTTTTGTGAATTATATATTAACGCGTATTTTATATTTTAGTCGATGGTTCTTATTGTATAACGTGCGGATCAGATAGAAAGTTGAAGTTATGGAATCCATATAAATCTACCACATTAAAAACATATGGTGGACATGGTGATGAGGTTATGGACGCCTGTGCGTCTTGTGATAGTAGTCAAATTGTATCTTGTGGATTAGATAAATCTGTAATTCTTTGGGATGTAGCAACAGGCACACCTATACGCCGTTTTAGAGGACACGCTGGTCCAGTCACAACAGTAAGGTAGATTTTTGTTACAATTTTATATAATGAATTTGAAGTTTTATAATATAATTTATTAGAGGTATTGGTATATACTAATACAAAGTTTATTTTTTATTCCTGAATTAATATAAAGCTGCATTAATATAAAAAGGCTTCAATATTTGCTACTAGTATTGAAAATCTATATGTATTATAAATTATATATATATATATATATATATTGCAGATTTAATGAAGATTCATCTATGATAATCTCTGGATCTCGTGATAATAATGTTATGTGTTGGGATAGACGTTCTAAGGTACAGGAAGCTGTACAAATATTGAATGATGCCAAAGATTCTATTTCAAGTGTTAGAGTTTCAGATCATGAGATTTTATCTGCTTCTTTTGATGGTAAAGTACGTACTTATGATATACGCATAGGAGAACTTTGCACAGATTTTATGGGAGGTAAATAAGAGAATTTAATAATAATAATACGTGAAATTAGTAATTTTATTGACGAAACAAAAATGTTTTTTAGATGCTGTCACATGTGCAAGTTTTACCAGAGATGGCCAATGTTTAATTGTTAGTTGCGCAGATGAAGTGATTAGATTAATTGATAAAGATACTGGAGAATTACTTGGTGAATTTACAGGGCATAGTGGAAAAAATCTATGTCTAGAATCAATCGTAAACTGTCAAGATACAAGAATTTTTTCAGGCTCAGCAGATGGCAAATTATGGATTTGGGATCTTGTGTCTCAAAAAGTAATTGCAAAACTTTCAGGACTTAAGCCAACTAAATATCCTACTGTGTCTATAAGTGTTCATCCTCAGAAGAATTGCATTTTAGCTTCTAATGGATTTAATATATTAATGTGGAATTCTTCCGCTCATATAGATAGCGAGTAGTATTTATTATAATTTATATTTATACTATAAATACAGCTTTGTACATAGAGTAACTATAAATGAGTAGACTATAATAATTTTGCTTTCTTTTCTTGACTTGGAATAAAATAAATAATCGAACTGAGTCGTTAATTTAAGTACATATATAACAATTATATACATATAATCATATACATATAATTTATATAATTTTTCTATAAATCACACACTATTTTATATATTTTAATATTGAAGACAGTTTCTTAAAATAATAGATAAAATATTTTTATAGAAAGGCAAATGTGTATTATTATGTATATACAGGTGGAAGTTGACATCTGGGAGAAGAAGTAAACAACTAAAATAGATATCCCACTCAACCAACAATTAGAAAATAAATTTTTTGGAATAACGCCCAATTCGCGTACAGATATAGACTTATTTGCATGCGCAGTGAGAATATGTGCACTTGATTGAAATTTTACATTGGCGTATACTCATTTGCACAATTGTTTGAACATGTTTTTCTTGATGAAGTTGGAAGTGCATTAAATGATCACGATTGCAAGCTATTTTTAACAACGTCAAATGTTGTTTATTTGAATCACAGGACATTTCAATGTTGCAAAATTTACGTTATATTTGTTACACAGATATATATATATAAATTCTTTTACAGACTGAAAGTACTAAAATAAATTGGAGTATTGCTCAATATGTAGTGAAAACGATTAAAAATTTCCAAATTGACCTTTTTAGCTATCAATAAACGTAAATATTTATCTGATACAGAAATTCTGCAACGTGTACATACCAAATGTGTCAATGCTCCAATCGGGAAAATATTTCAAAGAATATTTTTATATTTTTATATTAATATTTTTTTAGAATCTTTTTAAATTAAATTTAAAGGCCTAAAAAGATACGAAAAATTTGTGAGACAATTTTTATATACCTTGGTTAGATTTTCCGTTGAATAAGATAAAATAGCGCACACTCATCGCATTTACATTATGCACACTCATCGCGTTTACATACTGCACTTACACTTACGTAAGATCTATATGTAATACAAGAAATATTAAAGGAATAGCATAATTCGATCAATGTTTATGTAACATAAAATTTAGAAGATCGTCTCTACGTTATCGATATTTATCAGGCTTGCTATCGATTTTGGCATTCCCTTAATAATCACAATTATTTCACATACACCTTTATAAGTTCCAATTTTTGTTTTGTGTCCATATATCCAAAATTTAGATGTTATAATTTATATTAATTACTTCAGTGACATCAAAAACTTTCCTTTGGACAGATTTGTTTTTAATTTTCTTATTAGTAAAGTAATGGTATCATATAACTTTAGATATAATAGCCCTTTTTAATATCTCTGCTATTAAGTGATGAAACCTAATAATTATTTATGGAATTATTTATTCAATAGCACCGCTCTTCGCTAATATTCTAATACACAATAGCCAGCATTTATTATAACGCATTTTTATTTTCGAGCATTTTCAAATATTTTCAAGATATATTTTAGCTTTTAATTATACATGTTTCTTTTTTCTTTAACTTAGGCACATTATTATATGAATATATAAATACTTGAGTGTTTTGTTATATGAATATTATTATGTGAATATATATACACTTGAGTGTTTTGTTCGTTATTTAATATTTTATTCTGCTGTACACATTTCAAGCTATGCAAAGTTAAACATTAGCATGTATTTTGCTAATGTGAATTCATGACTAAAAGAGATTTAATATGGTTTCTTTCGAAATTTTCATATTGAGGTAATTATTCGATAAGTTAATAATTCAAATTAAGATTAAACATCTATTTGTTTTGTTGAAATTGTCCTAACATTTTGTATCTCTCTTCTGACAAGTCAATATACATATTAAAAATTTCACAACTAGATTCATTGTTCTTTGTGAGAGTTTATTTTGAATAAATATATAAATTTGTAACAAAACATTGTGCCTTAAACAAAATAAATTGTTTAAGTCTATTTTGTGAAGTGTCATCATTCCTTTTTCTCTTTGACCAATTATACACTGTTACTACATTTTACGAATAACGTCCTAAATAATAAATATTTCATAACTTTGAGTTGAAAATCAATCGAACAATACTGAGACGAATGTAAATGTTAAATTTTCAATTAAAACTATTGATTATTAACAAAGTTATTATATAAAACGTAAAGGGAGGAGAGATACATAATATCATCTCTACATTTTTGAATTATGACAAAATATGATATTTCATAAGACTAAAGATGAACGCATAAGTGATTCTCGTTTACTTTTAGAGAAAAAAGAAGTAAAAAGAAATATAGGTTAGATAGTTATAGGGTCAGGGTGGTAGAATTTAAGTTAGAATTAAGATTAGGTTAGGGTTAAGTTCTGTCATCATATATAACTGTATTGTACGTATATATATTCAGAGATTCATCATATACAAGGCGCGTGAACGTAAGTTTAGAACATATATATATACTTTAACTGCGGCGTGATAAAGAAAGCACGTTTCCTCACCGGCTTGCGAGACAGAGAGGAATGAACATGCGCGCGCAGGTGGCGCGATGTTGGTGCGTCAGTCACTGTTCGTCGGTGCAGTCTCGCCCGGGAGCGCGAGAGAGAAGTTTGTTATTTTATGTTGGGGAATTGAACGTAGTAGAGAGAGACAGCAGATATCAAGAGTGAGAGAAACTAGTTGAATCGTTTCGAAAGAGATAAGTAAGAGGGAGAAGGACGAGTACATCGTGTAAGACGCACTGTGGTATCCGCACACGGGGCGAGCCGGTCAATCGCACCACTTCGCGGAGTGTACTTTTGACCGCATGCACTTTCAAGTAAGAGACTGGCAAACCGAAGTGCGAGGAAAAAGAACAGCGTAAACGAGAAGGAAGGAGCGAATACGCAATGCAAAGTAGAGGCTAGACCGCGTGGTAGCTTTTGAAATTACACTAGTGACTGTCTCGTTCAATAACAAAGTGCATTGTTATTGTTGATCGATATCTACTGTGAGAGAGAAATAGGAAAGGAAAGAAGAAGAGAGAACTATCGTGGCAGAAAGTACCAAGAGGTTGGCAACTGTGGTGGTGTCGCTGCGCTGGGTGGTATTAGTGGTGGTGGTGCACCGTGATACAGTGGTGGAACGAAGGCATGAAGGACATGACCGTGAGTAGGAAGAGGGTTGTTATGGGGCGAGACTCCTGTGATGTGCTGCTACTCATTGCGTTGGCCTCATTTGCTGCGCTGGCAGGGACGGATGCCTTTTCGACAGAAAGTGAGTCTGATATTGTTCGAACATGAAATATTTTCGATGTGACGATAAGGAGTTAAAGAGAGAGGGAGAGAGGGAGCGAGAGCTGTTCCTTGAGCTTGCTTGGTATATCCACTTCCTTCCTGGAATCTGCGATGTCATATCGAATTTTTCATTGAGCTAGCTCTAAATCTTTTTCGATACATCGCGATAGTATTGCGAGTTTTTCACTTATATTTTATCCGTTTTCGCGCCATCGTGTACAACCTCCCCCTTCCGGGGTACGTCGATAAGAGACAGGTCCTTACAGCCGATGGTGAATGCGAATTTTAACGCTACCGCATCTGATACTTTTACGTTCTCTCTGGAGAGAATAAATACACATCGTGGAGAGACTATTCATTTATTTACGACCGTTGTTGGACGTGTCTCTAAATTAACTATCAACATCAGTTAACAGTTATTAGTATTTCATGTCATACAACGTTTAGGAAACGCACGTAAAAAATTCATGACTGCGTGTGAGTTATATTTTAATTTAAATTTTTCCAAATAAAAATTCAGGCCATAGTATACAAACATTTAATGTATGTTTTGTGTTGCCATTGAAGCAGCATAATGTGTTTAAAGTATGTTTGCTTTAACAAATATTCATTTATTACACCATAATTTTAATCGAAGTATTGGCTTATTATTATTACAATAATTCTGGTTTAATTGTGTTCTCTTTCGAACAAAATAAGCAGCAATATTTATGACATCAGAATATCGATGCAATATTGCCATAATTTTCACGATATCAGATAATGTTTTATATTTTGATAAAATGTTGTATGAGAATGCATCTTATCGTATTTATACTAGTCTTGCGATACAGACAATTTATCGAAATATGTCTATCTTCGAGTATTATTCGTTTATAAAGTGTCGAAAATATATCGGCAAAATCGCGAAGGGGGATTTTATGACGGCCGTTTCAACTCCAAATCTTTGTGAAATTTTATTCTAAATTATATCATATAAATATCGCTATACCAGTAATGTAAATTATATTTTGGAAATCATGTCCCTGCAGTTATTTTAATCAATGAATTATATTAATTTTATATTTCGAGTTAATAAAATATATCTAATTGTTAAAGTAATTTTTGTTTATGTATAGGAGCTGGTTTAACATGTCAGAGCTAGTCTTAACATGTAATGGCTATAATTGTCAATTTTTCGGATGTATGTATACAGTTGAAAATCATAATAACCTTAAAGGGATTGTAATAATTATATAATTTTTTTAATTTTGTGTGTGTGTGTGCGCAAAGTAAAAACTCGTACAAGTAATCCTACTTATATTAAAGCATATGTGAGGTCTGGTATACATAGATTAAAATAAATAAATTGATTAGGGCTACTACGATTTTCAGTCGTATATATTTAGATCTAAAATGTATACTAGACGCTTTTGCCTTATATGTTATAATTAAGATTATCTACACAATTTTCAGTCTTACATATAATGTGTAAGCTATAAAGTCATATAAAATCTTAGTAAATTGCATTTATATTGGCTTGCATTTGTGCTCGCATATCTCTCTCAGGTCGCTGAATAAATTATGCTTCAATAATGATAATAAATATAATATTTGATACATGGTTGAAAACCATTACTAAATGTTAACGTATATACGCCGGTCATGTATATACCGAGATATACCATACTATAGTGACTATAATTTTAAATCATTTATATACGTATGTATACGATTTAACATTGTAATAACTTTAATAATATAATTGTTAAGGCTATTACGCTGACTTGTTACATTCATATGTTATATGTTATATGTTACACATTCAAGTATATAAAACATGTCAAGATTCTTGCATGTCCTCGTTCTGATCTGTGACTGTTATAAATTTCTTATGACATCCCAATAGAATGCGAGTAAACCCTTTAAAAAGTATAATGGTAAGGACAACCTTCGTAATTCGATCAATGCTGCGTGCAGATGCATGTTATGCTGAATAAACATTCAACATCATAGCGCTTTCGTTTTGTCATCGTGCTCATTCACTTCTTTCTGATGTCATTATACAGTCAGCTTCACGTATGCCATATCATTTTCTAAATAGAAAGTTATGTGATTTTTAATTTAATGCACATACACATAAGGATACAAATCGCATAAGTAACTTTAGTTATAACGGTAGAATTATAAAGCGGTCTACAATAGGTATAGTAAGTTTTAAGCCGTAAGAAATCGACTAGTCACAGTCGAATATGAGAAAAATAATTGATTGTGATTAGTCAATCTTCTATGATTTAAAGTTTAGTATATTTATTGTAGAAACCTTTTAATATCTCCAATTATTACGATCTTATGCATATATATGTAAGACTGGAAATCATGTAACTTAGAAAATGATACAGATCATAAATGATATGACATCTCAACCTAGAAAATGATACAGATATCGTTATGTATATTGTACCATTTCCTAGATGGAGAGTTATACAATTTTGAGCTTTACATAACGCATAAGTTTGAAAATCGTGAAAATAACTCTAGTTATAATATAAGAGTTATATTCTAGTTATAATCTAGTTATAATATAAAGAGTAGGATTATAATAGCTCTAATTATAGTAGTAATTTTTACTTTATGTGTACATGTGAAAGGCTGAAAATCGTGTAACAATAAAAAATTTCAATCGGTACAATTATTGAACTTAATATATAGGCTGCGTTCGGAAACATCAGTCTTGGTGTGCTTTTGTGATTTCAATGGGAAAATAGTGGAAGTAAGTAGCGGGAAAGTACCGTGTAACCTCAGGTGTTGAACGTTCCCGAACGGTTCCAAAGAAACATCTAGAAAATTTCCACCGGAATACATATTTCTATCGATATAATGTTATCACATTATTATTTGCTATTATTACAAGATTAACGACAACAGAAACGACACAGGTAACTAGATAGTACCGACTCCCCCTGCTTTTTTATCGGTTGGTTTGATGACAATTGGTGCGACTTTCTGTACGTTTGCAAGCGATACGAATGCACACTGAGTCATATGCAATGTTTCCGAACGGCTACTGGTGTGCACACTGTGTGTTTCCGAACACAGCCCAACTGGAAGGCGCATGGGCATGCTCCCACCTCGGTGGCAGCCAACCAGACACAGGTTGAATTGGTACCGGTTGTCTCTTTTAGCGTCGGCTATCATAGTTGAAAACATTTATCTTGACATAGACATGTTTAGATTCATAATGTAGAGTAAAAGCCGATATAGATTAGATCTCTTCTGGACGCTTTTGAACTGAAAGCATCAGTGTATCATCCTTAATAAATAAAATTTCTATATTTGGATTGTAAAAAGTTGAATGGTTGAGAAGTAAATGTTGTCAGAATAAGTAGTACACCACATCATGTGATCGTTATATGTATAATAGTTAGACGAAGATAGCAAAGTACTCGTTCAACCATCTTTTTTACACAATTCTGATCGTTCGAAGACAAAGGAATGCTTCTCTTAATATATATATATATTATGAATAGTAGAGATTTCTTTGTTTTTTTAGCAAAATTCAATCTTTATTTGAAAACAAACAAGAAAAGCTCAATTATCGAAATATTCCCTGTTATTATTGATGATTTTTTGTCATCCTTCGAGCAAATTGCGAATTCTCAGGTGATAAAAACTCACCAGTTTCGAAACGATAAAGTCATCGATGCTTTTTCGAACTTCTGTTCTGAACTGTATATCAGCCAAATGATGCTGTATCGTCCGGAATAGATAGTACTCCGAAGGGACCATATCTGGCGAATATACCGCGTGCGGGAGAAGTTCCTATCCCAACGCGTAGATGATCACTTCAGAAACAGGTGACCGTACGTTATCATGCAGTAGAATGGCTTTGTTTCCTTGTCCAATAGATAGCCTCATTTCCTTCAATGCATCGCTGAAATTGATGATTTGTCACTGGTAGCAGTCCGCCGTTTCATCCGGTTTCAGTAGCTCATAATACAGCACATCTTTCCAATCCTATCAGATACAGAACAAAACCTTTTTGGCGCGGATATTAGGCTTTGCAATGAATGTCATCGATTTACTTATAATTTTTTGCGCTTGAGGTTGTCCTATAGGATCCATCTTTTATCATTCGTAATAATTTGATACAAAAAATTCTTTTGTTTGAACCGGCTTAGCAAAAACTGTGTTGTCGCACTGGCCTACTTTGTTTTCTTCAGTTAATTCATGCAAAACTTACTTTCCTTTTTTTTCGAATTTTTCTTATTGGATGCAAATGATCGGAAATGGCATTTTGGCTGACTCCCAATTGTCTCATAAGTTCTTTTTGAGTTTATGCTGCGTTTTGATTTATAATACTTGCAACTGGTCTGATTCAAACTTGACAATTCGTCTAGAATGTAGTTAATCTTTTGTCCATCAAAATTTTCGTCGCGAAATTTTTTATATTAATTTCTACACGTTATGTGACTTATTATAGCATTACCATATGCAGTGCAAATCATTTTGGCAGCTTCAGCAGTATTTTTCTTGAAATGAAATAGAATAGGTGGATGGAATATTCTCTTTGGTTATGGTCATCATGAACAATACTGACTTTTGAAGTATGTCAATTGCTCGCCATGTCACATGGCGTTTTATAATGATTACTGTCAACACTTAAAAATCGTAAAAGGGCGAGAAAATATTTTGATTTAAAATTTTGTTCCGGTCGATGCAAAACTTAAAGCTAAAAACTTTTTAATACTATTAATAGTCTAAGTGGGCATTACATACGTTTTTTGGTTACGTGAGAGTGGGGGAATTGATCATAGACACCCGCAGTCTCCGGGGACAGACCGCGAATTATGCTAGACTTTTAACGATTAAAAACTTCTCCGGGTGTCTTTTCTACGCGGTATTGTTAGAATATCCCGGGTATCGCCAGTAGCATTCTTCCGGGGCGCTCCATCGCGATCAATTTACATCCCGCTCGGGGGCTAATCTTGTTCCCCCGCTTTCGCATGTTTGCGATGGGAAGCGGACACTGACACCCCGCCGCGCCCGCTCGGGTGTTTGGGAGGGGATTCCGGACCCTAGTTTAGTAGCGCACTCTCTGGTAGTATAGATTTGAACGCGCGCCTCAATAGGCTCATACCTTATCATGGGGCAGGGAAGAGATATCTCCCTTGCTGGTGACGATCGCTCTGTTTCCAATGATGCCGTGAGCAGTTACTTTGCAGTTGATTCTGCAGAGGAGGGGAGAAAAGATTGCCCTCAGGCAGTCCGCCCTCGACTAGAGCATCAACCTGTTTTTCTTATGGGGAAGAAAGGAAGACTTCCGGATTTCTCCGCACTCTTCTATCTTGTACTACTGTGATCAAAAAATACACGACTATTATTTTTTTTTAATCGCGGGTAAACTGTAAATTAAATCTGTTTGCTTTCTTAAGTTGGTACATATGTCCCTCATATTTGGTGAAAAAATCATGGCGTTTCTTCAAGCCGTTTGAGAGTGGCAGTTATTTATTCCAGTGAAGATAAGGCAAGCCTTATTGGATGAAGATGATACTCAAACTCAACAAGAACTCGCGGATGAATTGAATGTGACGCAGAAAGCTGTCTCAATTCGTTTGAAAGCCATGGGAAAGATTCAGAAAGTGGGAAAATGGGTTCCGCATGAACTGAATGAAAGACAGCAAGAAAATCGAAAAACCACTTGTGAAATGCTGCTCGACAGATACAAAAGAAAGTCATTTCTCCATCGTATCATGACAGGTGATGAAAAATGGATATATTTTGAAAATCCTAAGCGTCAGAATCATGGATGAATCCAGGCGGACCATCGACATCCACTGCAATCGCTTTGGAAAGAAGACAATGCTCTGTGTTTGGTGGGATCAGAAGGGTGTAATCTATTATGAGCTGCTAAAACCTGGTGAAACCGTTAACACTGATCGCTACCAACAGCAAATGATCGATTTAAATCGCGTGAAAAACGACCGGAATATGGAAAAAGGCAACACAAAGTCATTTTGCTCCATGATAATGCCCCATCACACACAGCAAAACGGGTCAGGGAAACGATCGAGGCGTTCAGTTGGGAAATACTAACGCATGCGGCTTATTCTCCAGACTTGGCTCCGTCCGATTATTATCTATTCACATCAATGGGACACGCTCTCGCTGAACAACGCTTCAATTCGTATGAAAATGTACGAAAATGGCTCGATAGCTGGTTCGCTTCAAAAGAAGAAATGTTTTTTTGGCGTAGCATTCATAAACTGCCGGAGAGGTGGGAAAAATGTATAAATAGCAATGGACATTATTTTGAATAAAATCTTTTTTATCATTTTCAAACAACAGACGTGTAATTTTTACAAAAAAATTCCGGTTTCATACTTCTACACCTAGTATACACCTAATATTTTATATTTGTATTTGGGGCTTCCTGCCCTATAAATTATATTAAAGTTTGTTTCAGATCTACATGTCCAAATTCATAAGGTTTCCTTATTAGATTCTTCTATATTTTATGAAAGTCATTTTATATTCCCACGTAGCGAGATATCAATTTTCGCCGTAGACTATTATTACAAAGTTTAGATGGATAATAATTTACTGCTAGCCTACCATAAAACGTTTTATTATATAAATCAAATAACTATGTTTTATCTATAGTTGATTTGTTATTTTTTATGAAAATGTTTTCATTCTTCCGAACATAGGCAATTATATTGAGAATACATTGCGGTCTTCTATTAGTTAGAAGTTTTTCATGTCCGTACTTTTTATGACAACTATTCACGAATATTACACAGCTGGGATATTTGCCTTCGATCGATCCCTCGTTTATCCTCCACTTTGCGATTATCAACTGTAATGGTTGATACCTATTACCATGAATCTACTTCTAATGCCATCAAGACTGTCTGATATAACGGGCATCAAGACCAAAACTATCCAAAGTATTATCTTTCCTTGTTAGAACATCCCAAAGAACATGTGATGTTAAGAAATACGGTTGTTCTGGCACGTTATGTATATGTAATTTTATAAATCTCGTTCGTGTGCTTATTACATTTTTTTATGCACTTTTTACATTTATTTAAAATATTTTTTGTATACTAATAATTTTTCAATTTAATCACATAGTGTTACATAATATTAAATTTTTTCTTTTTTTTCAGGTAAACTGGCTTGTCCTTTAAGACAGTTCCGATGTAACAATGGTAGATGTATACCGATTTCGTGGGTCTGCGACAAATCGGATGATTGTACTGACAATTCCGATGAAAGCCCAGAGGAATGTAAAAGTAAGTAATGCCATAGAATTGTGCTATAACATATCAAATAATCAAAAGATAAGATCATGTCCTGGACCAGTGAAGTTTATCACGGTTGCCGATTAACTTTTATAAAATTATTCCATATCGTGCTGATTGTACCCATTGTTTTTATTTGTTACTTGAATCGTTAAAATTCATACCGAAGAAAGTGATATTATGATTTCCATTTACATTTTGTACAATAACTTTATTAATCAATATTTTAAATTTAAAATTTACGAGTGAAGATCACGAGGTAGTACTCATCGATTTCAATAATATTGTTTATAAGTCTTGATGTGAACCTTTACTAAGAAAAAGGAAAAAGTATACTTCTCAAGCATTTTCCAGAAAATCGGAGATAAATAATCCCGAGTACCATGTAAGTAAGTTTAGCGGAGTGCTATACCAGAGACTGTGTGGCTCGGCAACAGCGTGCATGATTTATAAATGCGAGATCACTGGTTCGAATCTCGGTGAGTGAATTTTCTTTGGTCAGAATGCAATTTTTATATAGGTTAATTGTAAATTATATGAGTTATACATTTTATCTGTGCATTTTCTACTAAAAATTTACGTTTTTCCTTTTTTACACTCTATCTTGAAATTCTTTTTCAGAATTGCTCTCTATGAAAAATAAAATTATTTAAAGATTTTTTTTCCTGAGAATTAACAAATTCGGGTAGATTATTGACATAAAAAATTAAAATAAATGAAAAATATGTTTTATTAATTGTTGGAAGCAGGTGGACTAGTACGCACACATAAGACCGGATGATATTCGTCATTAAGAAAAAAGGGAATTAATTAATATAATATCTTGTGTGTTGTACAAACTGCTGTTCTACACTTATCTATTTCGCGAGTGTATTACGCTGTTATAGGAATGTTAGAAAGGAATGTGTAATATGTTATTTAAACTGCTCCAAATCATTAAAAAAAAACTGATTTCGGGAAGTTATTCAGATAGTACGATATTATACAAATTTTTTTCTTTTTGAAAATTACAGAAATTTATATTTATTATAATTTATTTTTCATCATTTTTTAAATTTAATTACTTAAACAATGAAATTATTCATAATATCTTTACATTCTCAAATATAGAAGTTTTTTAATAACTTTATTTTTAATAGATAGAAATTTCGAAAACGAATTTTAGACACTCTGTCCTAAGCCTGAGTATAACTCAGGCCTGGCTAACTTTTTCACACTTTTTTAAACTTAAAATTGATATATTTATTATAATTTAACTTAAAATTGATATATTGGTTGCTAAGTTACGACAACATACATCAACAATTAAAATGTTTTAATAGACATCAAAATTGTCCAGGATCTCATTAATAAATCATCTTTAAGGCCAAGGCTTCAAAGTGTTAAAGCAGAATATAAGAAAGGAAAATATAAATTTATAATAGAAAGTAGACAAAATATATAAACCAGGTGATTTACAATTATTTTATATAAAAATTGCATTCTGATTAAAAAAAAAAACTTGTCGAGAATCGAACTAGCAATCTCGCGCTTACCAATCAGGCGTACTGTCGCCGAACCATACGGTTTCTGATATAGTGATTCGTTAAACTTGTTCATACATTGTTTATTTGTTCAGAATTTTTAACTTTAATGTTTTAAAAAATGCTTGAGAATTACGCTTTCTTCTTTTGCTCAATAAAAGTTCATACTAAGACTATATTATTGAAATCGAATATTATATTATTGAAGTGGTGGGTCGCTCACTTTGTGATCTCCTCTTATTAGTCAAGGTAACTATATGCAGCGGGTAAATATACGCATTGCCTATAACTCTGTGTAAAAGGTACGGAGTGTTGGTGTCTGCGAAGTCTTTAGTCGTCATCTCAAGGTGAAAAAATTAAACTTATATCGGAATGTAACGCGCGCTTGCAATAGATAAAAATACAAAAATGTGTGAAAATAAATAATTTTTTTTTTTAAGTTTCGTTGTACTTCGACATCTTGCCACGTTTTAATTACTCGACGAAAGAAAGCAATATATATTTGTATTAAAGTTACATCGTTTGTTAACGAAATCATTTTACGAAAAAATGTCAAGTTATTTTATTGTATAGAAGTTAGAATTTTTCTGGAAAAATTGCCCAATAAGTAAATTGATCACAGACTGCGCACAGATTGGTAGCAAATTTGATCAAAATCCCACACCAAAACTATAGTCATCTGTGTTCACATTCAGCTCGTGTTTTGATGACAAAGCCTGCCGATAGATGATCCGATTGGCAACAGAAATCGCGCAGAACCTGCTGCCAAAACCGAACAGATCTTGCTGCGCGCAGCAAAATTAATCCCCCGTATTTAACTATAGAATATAAGCAACATGGCAGCACCTTTTCTGAATTATTATGGTGAACCAATATGCGACTCTTATTAGGTATACACATTAATTCGGTTTTCTTTCACATTTCGTACTTTATAATTCCGTTTTAAAACTAATAATTTCCTGCCTTTTTGCGATTTGTAAGTGTGTATTACTAAGTTCTGTAGTAATGTTTCAAAACATATACTTTGGCGAAGCAGACGACATAACCTCATGAAACAGCACGATGGCGGTCGATGAACAGCATTTGAGGCGCTGCATTGTTTTCACATTTTGATTAAAGAAAAATACTGATGTTACGGAAATGATTTGTGCCGCTCTGGGTGAAGACGCTGTAATACATAAAACGTGTAAAAGTGGTGTCAGAAGTTTCGGAATGACATTGACATTTTTCAAAAGTTGCAGAGACAGCGGTATTGTACCAAAATTCCTGCTAAAAAATCATCTAAGTACCAAAAAGCTAATATCCAAACAAAAACAAGACTTTATTGATCAAGGAATGCATCACCTATATAAAAACCTAAATCTACAACATATTCCAGAAATTACTCCGAGCACATCTGGAACTGGCCTCTTCCATTCATCCAGACTTATGAGCCACAGTGGACCAACATATGAACAATTTCAGCAGATACGTATATTAACGGCCAGAAAACAAAAGGACATATACCAGAAATTGGCACCACAGAAAACTGTTCCCGTATCAACGCCGTGAAAAACTTCTCAAGCAAAAGGTTTTACCAGAAACTATCTCCGCCTTTGCCGAAGGATTGAATTACACAATAGCACCCACTATAATATCGAAGACAGAAATCATAATCAACATAGAATCCTCCATTTACATGCTCCAACCAGAACAAGCAAACAACATACGCTTAAAAGCAGCTGATATTCTAAGGAAAGCCAAATCTTCAACACCTTTCCAGAATACCAAGTAAGGTAACTAAATCGCTCTGAGGTAACTAAATGAAGACACGAATATCATCATTCTACTAGCAGATAAGGGCAATATAATCATATTAATGGACATAAAAGACTACGACTCAAAACTACAAGCCCATCTAGCAAAGGACATCTTTGAGAAACTAAGAAAAAATCTCACGTCAGCATTAAAAAAGCAAACTACTAAGCTTATAAAAAACAGCAAACTCTCAGACCTGATCAAAAACCAGCCTAGTAACCTGGTGTACCCTAGACTATATGGTCTTCCCAAAATACACAAGATCGGGATATCCCTAAGACCAATAGTCAACGCCAGAAACTCTCCGATATACAAACTGGTACACTATCTAGTCAAAAGACTAGAGCCACTCACGGGAAAACCAGATCCAAAATCAAGAATTCTGCACACTTCATACAAAAAATTCAAAACAACCGATTGCGGCCTGATGACATATTGGTGAGTTTTGATGCGGTATCCTTATTTACACAAGTCCCAATACAAAACACTCTCAACATAATTAAATCTTCAACTTACATCTCATCGGACTTAATTTCTCTAATAGAATATTGTCTAATATATATTCCTCATATAAGAACTAATTTTTTACAACAGACAAACAAACAGCAAAGGCAGTCATGGGATCACCTACCAGGTGTAGAAGTATGAAACCGGAATTTCCCTATAGATGGTGCTAGCCATCAGTTTAGGGACCGTAAGACCGCTTCTGCAGCGCCATCATCTCCCTCTAACAGCTGACGAAGATTTTCAACACACAACAGCCCAAGTGTATTTCCATACACCGGTATATTTTTCTATAATCTTAAACATGTCGAGTTTTGTGCCTACGAACTACGATTTGCGGACAGCATTGGTTTTTTGTTATCATTTGAAGAAAACTGCTGTAGAATCGCATCGAATGCTTGTCGAAGCTTACGGTGAACATGCTCTTGGTAAAACACAATGTTTCGAGTGGTTGAAAAAATTCAAAAGTGGTGATTTTGACGTGAGAAACGAAGAGCGTGGGAAACCACCGAAAAAGTTCGCAGACAACGAATTGCAAGCCTTATTGGATGAAGATGATACTCAAACTCAAGAAGAACTCGCGGATCAATTGAATGTGACGCAGAAAGCTGTCTCAATTCGTTTGAAAGCCATGGGAAAGATTCAGAAAGTGGGAAAATGGGTTCCGCATGAACTGAATGAAAGACAACAAGAAAATCGAAAAACCACTTGTGAAATGCTGCTCGACAGATACAAAAGAAAGTCCATCGTATCATGACAGGTGATGAAAAATGGATATATTTTGAAAATCCTAAGCGTCAGAAATCATGGATTGACTCTGGTCAACCTTCGACATCGACGCCAAAGCTCGATATCCACGCCAAGAAGATTTTGCTCTGTATCTGGTGGGATTGGGAAGGTGTGTTATATTACGAATTGTTTCAACTAGTTGAGACAATCACGGCAGACCGCTGCTAACAACAATTGACCAATTTGAGCGATGCATTAGAAGAAAAGAGGCCATTTACTGGCCAAGGAAGTCGTAAAGTGATCCTGCTTCATGACAATGCTCGACCACACGCGAAAGCGACTATATCAGGACCATATTTTTACGTTAGGCTGGGAATTTCTCCCGCACGCGGCGTATAGCGCAGACATGGCGCCTTCCGATTACTACCTATTTTGAAGAGATACGAAAATACATTGATGACTTGATCGCTTCGAAGCCGGTGAGCTTCTATCGTCGAGGAATTCGCAAGCTACCCGAAAGATGGCGAAAGGTCATTGATGCAAACGGGGAATATTTCGCTGATTAATATTTTTTTGTTTGTTTTTGAATAAAGATTGAATTTTGCAAAATAAGCTTACAACTTTTTTTCTCACCTAATTTATTTTCTTAAACTAAGCAAATATGACATTTTTATTTTCAATAATTATTTTGATATTGAAGGTATTAGGTGTATTAATTAATTCGTGCCGCCCAACTTTGCACAAAAATATTAATCATTTAAGTTACTGTCGCGCCCTTTTGCTATTTTAAAGTATTGACATGCAAGATTCAAATATGCCGTGTAGTTTGATATTTAAGTACAGTAACATAATCTTAAAAATCAGTAGTAAACATCATGGTTTACGATAAAGAGCATATTCGACATTGCATATGTTTTGCTTTTAATCTCAATAAAAATGTTTCTGAAGTAGCCTAAATAATTTATTCTATTTACGAAGGAGGTGCAGTGAGTGAAAGAACGTGCAGGAAATGGTTTAGTCGAGATAGTGATTTCAGTGTTGACGATCAATCACGTGCTGGGCAGCCTCGCAAGTTTGAAAACGATGAACTGCAGACATTATTCGATGAGAAACCGACTCAAACACAAAAAGAACTTGCCGGGCAGCTTGGAGTGACGCAACCAACGCTTTCGGTTCGATTGTACCAACTGGAAAAATTTACAAAGAAGAAAGGTTCCACACGAGCTGACTGCTGACATCAAAAATCGTCGGTTGACTATATGTATTTCTTTGCTCGTCAAAGTACATAAAAAAGATTTTTTGCATAAAATTGTAACTGCCGTTGGAAAATGGATTACGTACGATAATCCTAAACGCAAAAAATCATGGATGGACCCTGGTCAACCGACGACATCAATAGCAAACCTAAATACTTCGGCAAGAAGGTTCTTCTTTGCATATGGTGGGATTAGAAGGGTGTGCTGTACTCTGATCTCCTTGAACCAGGTCAGACAATTAAAACAGAGCTCTACCAACAACAATTAATCCGTTTGAGCGATGCAATTGAGGAAAAACGATCATTTACTGCACAAGGCAGTCGTAAGGTCGTCTTGCTCTATGACAACGCTAAACCGCACACAGCAGAAACTATGAAAGAAATCATCTTAAACTTGGACTAGAAAATTCTTTCCTCACACGGTATATTCACCAGACATAGCCCCTTCAGACTACCATTTGTTTCGATCGATGCAACATTCCTTATCGGATACATACTTCGACTCAATTGAAAACGTTTGAAACTTCGTCGGTGACTTCATCGCTTCAAAGCCACCAAGTTTCTATCGCGATGGAATCCGAAAGTTGTCCGATAGATGGTGTAAGGTCATCGATGTTAATGGAGAATATTTTAATGATTAATTAATGTATTTATCTTATTGTAAAATAAAGTCGAACTTTGCGAAAAACGGTACGAAATAATTTATATACCCAATACTATCATATGATAAAGTTAGTTGTCTTCTAAGTTCGTTTTCTAGACTCGTTAAAATTATTTCAAAGACATCTTGACATTTCTGACATTTCTTCAACTGTCAACATATATTTTTAATTATGTACGATTGTAGCCCATATCTTTATGAGTAAACTGATCACACATAGATCCGTATTAATAGTCGGATCTTATATCAAAGACCGTCTTGAATTTATTTTCAGATGATGTACGGCTCATTTCATTGGTTACGAAACATCTGAAAATAAACTTGAGACGATTTTGAATATAAGATTTGATTATTAATATAATACCTAATACATTCTGGAAATACATAATCTTATGAGCGAGTAATCTTACCAACGTAATTACTAATAACATTAGTTGTGTATATCAGTTGCTTATCTTTTCTGTCTTCCTATAAATACATATCATAATAACCTCTATGACACTGTGCTCTTACGCGAATGCATTTTTCTGTAGATTAGTAATCACTTCATATAAGTGCTGTATCTATCGTTATATTCGCATAATTATTATTTTATTTTAATTTTAATTTTAGTAGTTATATCATTAAATATATTTTATTTTATATCATAGTCATTTAATAACTAAAGATTACTTACACCACTATTAAACTATTATTTCTTAATGTGCTCTTGAATACACAGATTTGTTATTGAAACAATTTTTCACGCAAAGATTATAATAATTACATAATCGTCGCGTATTTTTAGAAATCAAATTTTATAAATCCAAAAATAAATATTTCAATGATAACATGTGACCAACAATTTTGGCAATATATAATAATAAATTTTGGCTTTCTTTCTATTATTCAAAAGACACGATTTAGTGCAATATCTTGTTACAACATAAATAAGTAGAAAAGATGCAAGACTAAAAACAAACAGGAATTAGAAAGTTATACATAAACAAATATCTCACGATAAATGATGTCTTATATAACTGCACTGCGTACAGTTCCGCAAAAATTTTTTCATTAAAAACTCGCTATCCTTGCTTCTGCTCTAACCCAATGCTTATAATTTTCTCCGATCAAACGCGTATGAATCAGTTCGAGTAAGATGTAGTCTTTTGTTAGTCTTGCATCAGACACTGTGATCTAATTCGCTCTTCTGCATTGCGAAATAAAACTAGAATATATATTCGTGCTCCTGTCTTATTTGTTTATTAAATTATTTAATTATTTGCCCGCTTGATTGAAAAAATTCTTTTGAAATCTAAGTTTTAATATTATATTTTAAATATATGAAATTAAATGTGTGTGTACTTTGAAAATTCATATGTGTACATGCGATAAATTTATATACATGTGTTAAAAAAATTTTTTTTTTAATGTTTTACACAGCGAGTAACGATGTTAATCGAAAATGAGACTATTATTAGTAAAGCATTAATTCAACTAATAAATTTTAAAAATTACAGTGTAATATCACATAATTACAGAGTAATATCATTAAATATAAAAAATCCGAGAAAATATCGAATATATCAAATAAGAAATACTATACGTATATATATTGTGCTTTTTATAATTTTACGCGATTACATATTGCAATGTTTATTTTCCTATAAAAAATTTCTTACGTTCGAGTAAATTAGTTACACGAATTGAACAAATAAATAAACGATTAAGTAAGTGCATATGAACGAATCGCAATACACGAGTGCTACACGACGTAAAATAATAAAATAGAAAGAACAAAGTATGTGTATAAAAGGAAAACGATGATAGAAAAAAGAATTTCTCTAACAAGCAAAAAGGAGTAATGAAAATAATCGAAAATTAATGTTACTTAAATAAATCAGATCGATTTATTGCTCTTATCTATTTCTCTAAACATTCATGAGGTTTACTCTTTTGCAGATTTCGCTTCGTTGTAGTTGGATTTTTTTCCTTTCGTCTTTTATTCCCAGTCGGTTTCTTGCATATCATCTGCTATCCTAATTTGTGATCTTGAGTTTCATTATCAGTCTCTTGTCGATTTTCTTTTATTAATCTAAACAATACTACAAATTTCGCTTTTCTTCTGATAAATCTCTAGCAATTAGTTTGATTTTTAAATGTACGGTGATTTTCTCTAGGACGGTTAAACTTCATTTCTAATTATGATCAATTTATTATAAATTTTAACTTTTGGCTAGATTATTTGTTTAAAAGTTATACTTCAAAATGATAAGTATAAAATTAAATGCGAACATGTAGTGTCTCGTAATGGTAATTTCTCATGAAGAAATAAATCGAAAATGTAGAATAAAGTTGTTTTCTTCCTAGTGGAGATAAATCGCTGAAATCCTTGAAATCAACAATGAAATCATTGAAACAAGAAATGAAAATAACTAAAACATTGCTAAATGTATTTCATCATAAATTATATTTTTAATATTCAAATGCTATGAATTTTAAGGATAATTATTAAAAATGTTGAAAAAGCACAAAATATTTAATGTTTCCTCAGATTTACGGAAGTTGAACACGGAAACATGCGATATACAATGAGTCCTAAAGGCAATATGAACACTATATTGATGTCCACATGATGTCTGTGATATCACTGTTGCGTCAATATGACGTCCTCTAATGTTATTTTATTATTTGGATAAGGGCCATTATTAAAAATTTACAATTATTACAAAAACTTTGTAATTTGAAAACTAATGAAATGTTAACAAAATATGTACTATTTCTTACAGATTCATTAAAGTATAAAAAAATAGAGTAATGACATATTGTTGAAATAGTTGACAAAAAGTATTGAGCACGAAAAAAGTTTTTTGAATACGCTAGGTTCAATAGTTTTTAGATATTCACATTTATATAAGAAGGAAATCAACCAAAAAAGCGCAGCTACTTTCATATTATGCCTTCGAGAAGTTCGAACACATTATTCAAGCGTCTTCAAGTGTTAAACTTTTGTTTTAACATATCAAATTATCAATTAAAATATATTTGAAACTTTTTATCATCATATTTTCCGCTTTTTGCGTTAATTCATTCTAAGAGAAGTGCTATATTATACCTTCCCTCCTCACTTTGATCGCCGTGACCTAAGATGCAGTTCAATGGCATTGCTCTGATGCAACGCGTCTCGGCCGCAAGGCCCAGTCGATATTGCATCAGATCCCGAAATCGTTTCTTCACCCTTTGCTTCTTTTATATTGGAACTCATTCTTAGCGTCGGTTCTTCCTTCATCAGCATGGCCCTGTCCATGTTTAAGATCGTTGCATTTCACAGCGCAAAGCTTATGTTCGTTGCATCAGATGACGATGACGAAGAGAACCAATTCGACCGATGCCGCGCCGATGTCGACAGTGTACGGCGGCTACCGACGCACCATATAATTATGGTGAAAGCCAGTTCATGCGTGGCACAGTGTATATAGAGTCGCATGATTTGCTCGAGCATCGGCTCGCACATTGGCGCAACGGCTGTATCGATCTATCGATCGTATCGAAATGCATCAATCAGATTTTATGTTATATATTATGACTATCGAATATAATAATGATTTGTTATTAGTAGTTTTTTCTATCAACATGTTTTGAAAATATTGAAAGAAGGAAGAAAAAGAAACCCACAAAAGAAAATATATCTGAATTAATCGTTATTTAATTGGTCTAGAATACGATAAACGAATAACAAAACTATTCGGTGTTTTTGCAAGTAGCGAATTGATAATAACGTAACGGAAAATAGAAGTCAACAACGTCATATGAAAAACACATTTCTAGGAAGTATAGCGCACATGGGGCAAATGTATAATCTATATAACCACCTGCAATATAATGCGCTTGCATAGTGGCACTTGTATTATTACCTAATCTATTTTAGCTTTTCAGCTCATTGAATGGCATGTACGCGTTTTTCTTTCATTCCCAAATCAGTATGTCATGCAAAGTGACGTTTACAAGAGATAACGCATATATTGCATTTTGTAACACTACGTGCACAACATTGTATTTTCATTTTTGTTCACCTGGATTCAAGGCGCGCGATTGTTACTATGATTATACATTTACTTCGTATCGAAGTATATACGAATATTGATTTGAATAAATTTCGTATTTATAAAGCAGAATATATTATGTAAAACGACTGACTGTATAATTTCGCATTCGATCAGTTATGTGTGTGTATGCGCGTGCGTGTATACAGGATGTTTCTTAAATATTGCTCAATATTTTAGGAGTTGAATTTTGAGAACATTTTATGAAAAAAATCATTTTATATAAACATATGATCTCAAAAGCCTCGTTTCAGAATGAGAGAGATGTACAGAGTATTAAAAATTTTACAAAATTATTGTTTGTTCTTAATAGTTTCTAAACATAAAGGAGTTTCTTTTTCAATCTCGGATCAGTAAATGAGTAAGGTTACTTTTATTTCTGACCTATAGTCGCATCGTCATGTAAAGAGTCAATGATGTAGAAACGAGGTTTTAATAGTATATTACCGTCTCGAACTTATACGCATACAATGGACGAGATATAATTTTTTTCAAATTTATTATATTTCATCAATTACAAAAACTCTCGGCAGATTACAATAAAACTATTAGTATAGAAGATATTTGCATCTTAACGTATCTGATTTTGTATACATATAAGATTGTTCATTCTAAATATATTATTTCGTCTAAATTTAATTATTTATCTCCAACTAGCTAGTTCTTTAGTTGTGATGAAAATAAAGTATCTATTCATACTCATGTCTATATCCTATCCTATATCTTACTTATTGGCCTGTGTTAAAAAAAAAACTTTTTTGTGTTTAGAAGCTACTAAAAAACCGTAATTTTATAGAATTTTTGATATTCTTTGAAACAGAGTCCTTAACACCATATGTTCGTATAAACTTTTCTCCATAGAATTAACTCCAAAATGAATTTCTAAAATATTGGATAATACTTAAGAAACACCCTATATGCGTGCGCGCACGTACATTTGTACGTATATATGTGTTTTTTTTTTTTATATGCGTTAATAACTGTGGAGTTCGATATTATTTTCCGTTGCGCACTACTTCTCATATTTTTGTATTGATATATAGCCGCATTATCGATATTGCTAGTCATGTTACCGCGATTCGGGCTTGTATACGAATCGCATATACGTATATGCGATTTCCCGACACAAACGCACGAATATAAGAAACGTTCTAAATGCGCAACACAAGGATTAATATTCGTGACTTGGATTCGCGCTTTCCTCCTACCACGTATCACCACTGTGCTCCCAGATCCATATATAGACGCTCTTTTACTGAACAACCTTACAGAATCCGCGACTACCACCGCGAGCGCATCGCCGTCAGGTGTGCCAGATACAATCCGGAGCTGCATCCGTATGCTGCTCGCGCGTGGAATGTGAAAGAGCTGCAAAAATAAGTTCACGTTCTATAAAGTAGCGACGAATTCGGCAAGAGTGATCTCTTGTTTCTCGCGAGAGTGCTTCGCTGATTCGACAATTTGATTCGAAAGTACCGCTAATAGAGAGTCGAAAGATTCAGTTGTTTATATGTTTGTCAAACATTTCGATCAAATAATGTATTAATAAGATTTTATGACGTTCAGTGATTGATAATTTTATGTATATATATAAATGTGTGGAATTGACGCACAGAAGAATCCTATTTAAAGAATAGTGTATTATAATCGCTAAGGTATAGATAAAAACGTTTTTGTATTTCGGAAAATTAGATAATAATATCGTGCTGCAGTCATTTCGTTGATCAATGGAGTAATAAAACGTGGCCTTGATCCTTTAACGATAAAGGAATTAGCAAAGGATTATCAACATTGGAAGTTTTTGTCTTAATTTCCTCAAATGTAGACTCGGATTCATTTTGTGTTGAATGGATGGTATAAATTCCTTCGAGCCATTCACAATATCAAAAAATTAGTGCCGTCGTAAAGATTTACGTGCAGTGCAGCCCGTACAATTTTGTCCGTGATATGCTGCTCGACAGGAATTCAACGCTCTTCTTGGATATGTCCCGGTCACGGTGCACGTTTATCCTGTTGCAACTTATGTGTGCGACTATCTTCATGATTGACGCTGTCGATCATCCTCATATGAACGTTTCAGATACCCAGGAATGCAAAGAATCAGAGTTCAAGTGCACCAGTGGCAGATGCATACCTAATATATGGCATTGTGATGGTGACCGGGATTGCCCAGATGGCGTGGACGAGGATTCTGCTGTCTGCAGTAAGTTATTATTTTTTATAACGCATGCATTAAGAATTTGGCGTGTGTACATTTTGATCAGTAGCTTAATTTTTAATATTTAATAAAATACATATGCTAAGAAATACATAGTTATAATTTCTGAAAATGTGTAATCTTAAGGCAAGAGATATTCTATTAAGATCAAAATCGAGTATAGATATTACACAATTAACAATTCTCATCCCCTAATTTTAAATCTTGATCAGACGTAACTAGAATGTAAGATGTTGATATATATGATTTTTTTTTTATTTTAATTATCTTGCAAAATTTGTAGGTATAAAGTCTGTTACTTTCTTTTACAATATTTTTGTGACGTATTGTCACATCATTACACAAAGAATAGATATTTAGTTAAATAAAATGCATCTACAGCTGTAAATTTTCTAATATATATGCGAAAGTGCAACTTTTCAGACCGGTTTCACGTAAAGTGTATTAACGTATAAAATGTATTAACATATGTACAAAAGAGACCGCACAAGTTATCGTATAAAACTCGCAACTGTTCGATTCTCGCAAGAGCATATTTTGTATCGTGGAATGATGTTAATGTATAATGAATTTAAAAAACTTGTCTAAAGATTTCAGAAGCGAACAGCATATACATGAATATAAAAAATGTTTCATCAACATGAATTGAAATACTGACCATTTAAAACATAAGCATTTAATGTTGAGTATATATATTACATTTGTCACCAAATTATCAATTACTTATATTTTTATCCAGCTTCCTTTAACGAAAAAATTTGATTTTTTCTTGACTAGAAAATTGTCTAAGCCTTTATGTTTTTATTTGGATTACTTTGAAGTGTTATTCTGTATTATTATGTAAAATATAATATTTTTATTTAAAAATGTATATATTTTGTAGAAGATAAGTATTCTTTAAAGTATTTTCATTGAAACTTGTCCATTAAAAAACTATTGACTTGTTAATAACATTTTTTTATCTAACTGTTGAAAATGGCTCAAAATCGTAGCGTGGACCATTATGATGAGCACGCTATATATATATATATATATATATATA